CATCCTCAAATGCATTTAATCCTCACCTGGAGGCTGTATAATGTGGTTAAGGGAAAGAGAGAGAAAGAGACAGGAGGAGAGACAGACCTGGCTTTGAATTCTGTCTGTGCAATGTTCTAGTTGTGTGATGTTGGGCAAGGTACTTTCCTTCTCTAAGCTTCAGATTCCTCATTTTAAAACTATGATTAAATGAGGATATATATATATATATATATATATATATATATATATATAAAGTATATATAAAATGAGGTAATATATATATAAAATATATATATATATAAAATATATAGAAATCCTTCAGTCCAGTCTAACACACAAGAGCTATTGAACTCCATTTTGCAAATAAGAGAATGAAGCCAAGTGGTAAAAGGGGCGTAATTCAAGGACATATAGCCGGTGATTGGCCTCAGATCAAGAATCTTTGACTCTGGCTCTCAGCTGGTTGTCACCATGCCCTACCCCCTGGCCACTTCCTGGGATCCCTGCTGCTTCAGCCAGGGCTGTGCTCCATGTGCAGTGACTAAAGCTCTTGAAGAATGTGACATCACTGTCAGGCAGCTTGTAAGCCTGTGACCATTCATCACTGTAGTGGGCTAAATGTGCTCTTTCAAAATTCATATCCACCCAGAACCTCAGACCTTATTTAGAAATAGGTCTCTGCAGAGGCAATTAAAATAAAGATTGAAATGAGGTCATACTGGACTAGTGCGTGCTCTAAATCCAATGAGATGGAAAAGGATGGAGCACTCACAGAGCTACAGGACAAAGGCCATGTGAAAATGAAGACAGAGGCTGGAGTGATGCCGCCACAAGCCAAAGACTGCAAGAGCCACCAGAGCCTGAAAGAGGCAAGGAAGTATCCTCCCTTAGAGCTTTTGGAGAGAGTGTGGCCCTGTTGACACCTTGATTTGGGACTTTGGCCTCCAGGACTATAAAGGAAGAAATTCCCGTTTTTTAGCCACCCAGTTTGTGGTGATTTGTTACAGCAGCCCTAGGACTCTGAGATGTGAATGAATAGGGGTATTGGACTTAGAATGCTTGCATGGGCAGAGGCCATTGGTGGTGAGGCAAGGAGTATGCGTTTCGGAGGAAGACATGCACTCAGCTTTGAGTTTTTGTTTCCTTATTTGTAAAAAAAGAGAACATCCTTACCCTGCTGGCTTGTGTTGAGGACAAAGAGATGGCATGCTAGAGTGGGCCCAGTGGTGATGACAAAGATAATGGTAACCATGCACTGAGCATGGCGTGCCTCTGTTAATTCAGTTCTCACCACAGCCCTGCGTAGCCGGGTCTCTTAGCATACTCATGTTACAGAGGATGACACTGAGTCACGAGAGGTTAACTAACTGTCCAAGGCCACATGGCTGGTGAGGGGCAGAGCTATAACGCAGACCTAGGCCATCTGACTTCAGAACACTCCCTACTTCCCATTCCCAAGTCACCACAACCCTACATTGCCCTGTGCCCAGAGTTGGTGCTCCTTGAAGCTGTTCCTCCAGCCTAGTTGGAGCCCAGCACACAGTAATGTTCAATTAATGTTAATATTTTAATCTTGTTTGTTCCTCCTTTCCTCCTTCCTTGAGCCAGGCCTTTTGATTGGTGGAGGGGAGGCCGGTAATTTCAGTTTATGTGTTAGGGGGTAGGAGATTGAAGGGTATGGCAGTTTACCAAAAATCTGATGTCCAGTGAAGAACTCAGGGTCAGGAGGTTCCCACGGATGGCAAAGCAGTCACCCTGGCTTTTGGGAGTGGACCCTATTCTGAAATCCAAGCAGGCAGGAGCTGGCTTAGGGAAGCCTGCAAATCACAGTACCTGGGCAGGTATACTGGGCCAGGGCTCTAGGTTGTAGAAGGGAGGCAGGCTGAGAGCAAGCAGCTTTCCAATCACCGGCTGGGATGTAAGGAAAAAGACAAATGCATGGTAGCAGAACTGAGGGGCCAGGTGTGAAAGGAGTTAGCAGATGTAAGTGATATGGTTTGGCCTTAGAGCAGAGCAACATCCACTCCCCTACGTCTCCTTCTGTACCTGGGAAAGGCATCCTTTACAACACAGGCATTCCCTCTGGAAATGTGGCCTAAAAGAATCTCTTAGATGCATGCAGCGATTTAGCTTTGACCATGCTCATCACAGGGCTGTTTATAGTGGGGGAAAATAGAAAACAACCTAACTGTCTGCAGGTTGGGGAAGTGATTCATTATGCAGCCATAAATAGAAAACTACACACCCTTTCACACTGCTGCTGAGGGGGAACATCCAAGGCTGTGCAAAAATGCTCATGATGTGTTGTCAGGTAATAAAATGTGAGACCCTAACTTTATACAGTATGACAAAAATCAGACCTGTAAAATGGTGACTTTATATGTATATAATTGTATATATATTAACATTTTAACTACTAATATTTTGGTATACAGGTAAATAATTGTATTTATTGCTTGTTGCAAGTTTGTACCCTTAAACATCAGTTTTATCCCCCCCCCCGCCCCGGTAACCATCTCTGCTTTTTATGAATTTGACTTTTTTGGATTCCACATATAAGTGAGATCATACAGTACTTGTCTTTCTCTCTCTGACTGATCTTACTTAGCATAATGTGCTGAAGGTCCATCCATGTGTTTTGGCAGAATATCCTACTTTTCCATGGCTGAATAACATTCTGTTGTGTATATATATCACATATATTGATGGGCATTTAGGTTGTTTCCATATTTTGGCTATTGTGAATAATGCTGTAATAAACATGAGAGTGCATACATTTATACAATGTTGTGTGTCAAATAACTTCAATTAAAAAATACTTGTGTATGTGTCTATATATGTTATACATATAAAACATATATTGCCCTATTATATGGTCATCCATTTATTATATATAATTATATAAATTAATTTAATGCACACACACATTGGAAGAATGTATACCAAAGTATTAATGGCAATATACAGTGTAATATATATACAGTCTGTCTGAAAAAAGTCCAGCCATTGTTAATGTAACGAGAATGGTTTGCATGACATTGATGTAACCTGGCAGCCAAGGAGAGTAGACTGGGATACACATGTGTGAACAATGATGACTTCACCATGCTAGTCAGTGGGGGCAGTAGACGCCCTTGAGTGAGCATGTGTACTGTGTAGCTGTTGCATTCAATATGACTGAGTGAGTAGAGCAACAAATCTGCATCAAATTTTGTGTTAAGCTTGAACATTCCTCTGCAGAAACTATTTAGATGATTCAAAAGGCCAGAGCTATGGGCAACTAGTGATTGACAGTTTCATCAAGACAACATGCCCACTCATGCATCACATTTTATGCAGAATTTTTAGTGAAGCATCAAGTCACTCTGGACACTCAGCCTCCTACAGCCCAGACTTGACGGCCTGTGACTTTTGGCTTTTTCCAAAATTAAAATCACCTTTGAAAGGGAAGCAATTTCAGACCGTTGATGAGATTCAGGAAAATACGATGAGGCAGCTGATGGCGACTGGAAGAACTGTGTGAGGTCCCACTGTGCTTACTTTGAAGGGAACTGAGGTGTCATTGTCCTAAGTACAATGTTTCTTGTATCTTGTATCTTCTTTAGTAAATGTCTCTGTTTTTCATATTACATGGCTGGATACCTTCCGGACAGACTACACACACACACACACACACACGTATACACACACATCATATTTTGCCATGTATGATGTGTGCTTTTTTTGCCCAAATTTTTGAGGGGAAAAATAAGGATGCACATTATACATGGGTGTGATTACATACCATGGGTATAACAATGGGTATAATAATCCCATGTACAATGTGCACAAAAATGTTGGTGTACATTATACATGGCAAAATGTGGGTGTGAATACATATACACACACGCACAGACATGCACATACATATATACTGTTATGGACAGCACATCTCTGCCCGCCATCATATCCCCCACCCCCTGCCCCGCCTCAATTCATATGTTGAAGCCCTAATACCCAGTGTGTCTGATTTGAGGTTAAATGAGATCGTAAGGGTGGGGCCCTGATCCTATAGGATTAGTGTTCTTCTAAGAAGAGATTCCAGAGAGCTCCCTCTTTCTCTCTCTGTGCACAGAGAAGAGGCCAGGGAAGTACATGGCAAGAAGGGGCTGTCTACAAGCCAGGAAGAGAACTCTCCCCAGAAACTGACCTTGCAAGACCTGATCTGGGACTTGCAGTCTCCCAAACTGTGAGAAAATAAATGTCTGTTCTTCAAGCCGCTCAGCCTCTGGTATTTTGTTATAGTAGCCCAAGCAAATTAATACTCATGCATATATGCAGATACATGGTTTCTGTCTCTATAAATATGGTAATGTATATGTGGTAATATATATGGTTTTAGATATGTTTTTAAAATATGGCAATATATATACTAACCATAACTATAACTATAAGCCAGGAAGAATGTCCATTAAAATGTGGGTGGTAGTTCTCTTGGCAGTGTGGTTATAGACAATTTTTTACCTTCTTTTTTGCCTATTTGTATTATCTGAATTTTCTACAACAAATGTATTATTTCATGTTACTACTACTTATGTTACTTAGTATTTCTGTAAGATAGTAATTAATAGTATTACTATAAAATAATTATTCTACAACTTTCTCCTGTCTAAAGTTGGACTTGGTCTTGGAGGCTGGGACAGGGCACAGTGACCGTGGTCACGGGGAGCAGAGGCTCAGGAGCTGGGAACAGGCAAGGGCTGTCAAGGCCACCCACACAATCCTGAGCAGGTTTTGGTGAGCTCCCCTGAGCCTCTGCTTGCCATCCTATGTAACATGGCTCCTATTGAACATGTGTTTTCCAGTATCCAAAGGGCTTTCTCTCACGCGCGCACATTTGCAGTGCAGGCTGAGATCCATGTGCCTTTGCCATGTGTGAAGGTCACTGGATCAGGTCTGTTTCCTGGAATGACGGAATTCTTTGCAAACCAGTGCACGCTCAGGGGTCTTGACACCTGCGTTTTGTATCTCCCACACAGATCAGCTGGACATCATCTCCATGGCAGAGACAACCATGATGCCGGAGGAGATCGAGCTGGAGATGGCGAAAATCCAGCGCCTCCGGGAAGTTTTGGTTCGACGGGAGTCAGAGCTCAGGTTTATGTGAGTGTCTGGGGAAGCAGCCAAGAAAAGGAAGGGGGTTTCAGTCAGAGGATACCCGAAAACCTAACATTTATTGTTTATTACTGCATGTCGGGCACTGTGATAAAAGCATTAGGTACATTAAAAAAAATTTCATTTAATTCTCACTACTGCTTAGAGAAGTAGGTATCATAATCTTGTGTTTTAAACAAGGCCCTGCTGTTGCGATTGAATTCAGGTCGGTCTGACTGCAAAGCCTAGGCTCTGTGTTACCATTGTGAAGAGAGATGGAAGAAGAGATAGGACCAGAGGTTGTGGCCCTCTGCTGGTGTCATTAAGGCACACACTCTGCATTCAGCTAGACCTGAGATTTAAAAAAAAAAAAAAAAAAAAAAAAGCTGAATGAGCTAAGGAATAATAATACCTCTCTTCTGGGATCCTTAGCAACCTCAGAGCCACAGGATTTGAAAATCTGTTGTCCACAGAGCAGCGCATTCCTGAAGAATTACAGGTAGTCTTTCAAGAGAAACAAATTTTTTTAAAAAAGATTTTATTTATTTATTTTTAGAGAGGGGAAGGGAGGGAGAAAGAGAGGGAGAGAAACATCAGTGTGTGGTTGCCTCTCACGTGCCCCCAACTAGGGCCCTGGCCCGCAACCCAGGCATGTGCCCTACACTGGGAATTGAACTGGTGATCCTTTGATTTGCAGGCCAGCGCTCAATCCACTGAACTACACCAGCCAGGGTTCAAGAGAAAGTAATTTTAAAAATTGAGCTCTGGCAGATAAACTGAGAGTTTAAAAACAAAACCAAACCAGACAATTTAAGAGGAAAATTTCCTATATTGCCTGTCAACTCCCAGCACAAACTCCACTTGAAGAAGCAGCAACACCACACCCTCCAGGCATGTGCTAAGCACCTCTTACCCATTCTGTCACTGATATCTCTCAACTCCAGGAGGCTGGTTATGGGATAATTCCATCTTGCAGGTGAGGAGACTGAGGCTCAGGTAAGTTAACTTGCTCAGAGCCTCCTAGCTAGCCATTGAGGGGAGGGCAGGAGTTAGAAGGCAGACCCAGCTCCTCCTGCTTTCAAAACCCATGTTCTCATTACAGAATATCTTTTTATATATTTAAAAATTCTTGAATAATGTAAATTTAGTATTACCAAAAATAAATTAATTAATTTCCAAAATTAAAAAAAAGCAACCCCTATTCTCACAACTGCATTTTACGACATTTCTCACCCCACGAAATGGACTGCCATATTAACAGCAGCTATTTGTGTAGCTCTCTGCATGGGCCGGACCTTGTGCTGAGAGCAGGTGCACAATCCCTTCTCACAGGAGCCCTCAGAGGAAGGTTCTAGAATATCTTCCACTTTACAGATAAGAAGCATCCTCCCTTTCATCTGGGAATAAGAGAACAAATAGATAAGTGTTTGGAAGTAATTCCTCCCACCTCATGTTTTGTTTTTAAAGAATTTGAAGTATTGTATGTATGGGAGAAATATCAACTCAGATCACATGTTCTACGAGGTCAGGTGATTCTAACAACTGAGGTTGCCAAGATTGGACATAATGACTTTGTCCAATCTTGGCAACCTCATTGCCAATTTGGGTGCCTGGGAGTTACCCAAATCAAGATTAGTGGCAGGAAGTTTTGTTTCTGAGTGTGAAGTGTAGGGGAAACCACTGAACTAGAGATAGAGACTTGGCGCTCACCTGCATATCTGCAGTTGCTGAATTCAAGTAATGGGTAGGTACAGTCACCCTGCATAAAAAACAGTGACAATCCAAGTATAGGACTGATCTGGGGAAATGCTGAAATCTCCATGCTGCTCCTCTTTATGGATGGCCATTGGGTTGAAGGGGGCCGCCGGCTCTCCACGTTTTGGTGAATATGAAATAACTTGAGAGTTCAGTGGTAACAAGGTTTGGGATTATGATAGTCTATAAATGCTACATACCGTATATGTGAAGATTAAAAGTTTTCCTCCATTTTATCTTTAATTCTAATTCATAGAAGTGACCTGTGTTAATACTGTTGGTTTTTAGTAATTCTGGTGGATAGTTTTATGACTGTTCTTTTATTTATTAATATATAAACATTTGTCAGGAAGTACTAATTCTCCCTATAAAAGATGATTAAATTAGTGTGTGGGTCTTGCTTTTGCATCTGTTTTCTGTTTCCAGTTTTTACCCTTTTCGTTCTCAAAGAGAATAGTTTTTATACTCAGTTCTAAAACTATAATCAAGATACTGTTCTTGTCTCTAGATTGTTTCTAACATCAAAAGTACATCACTGGAGCCCTGACTGGTGTGGCTCAGTGGACTGGGCATTGTGCTGCAAACCTAAAGGTCGCAGGTTTGATTTCTGGTCAGGGCACACGCCTGGGTTGTGGGCCAGGTCTCCAGTTAGGGGCATGTGAGAGGCAACTGATCGATAGTTCTCTCGCACATTGATGTTTCCCTCCTTCTCTTTCTATTTCCTTTACCCTCTCTCTAAAAAATAAATACTATCTTTAAAAAAGCACGTCACTGGCATTTACAATACCCGCCCTGTGTTTTAAAAGGAAAACTGAGAATATGAATCCTTCTTTAAGTTACAGAAACTCGCAGGTGCTTAAGAGGGGCCAGAGGCTGCTTTTGTTGCTGCAAGAACAAAGGCTGTCTCTTTGCATTTACTGACCTTTGCCTTGCGTGTGCGTGCACGCGTATGCATTATCCCCAGCATCTGGTATATGCCTGACACATAGCAAGTGCTCAATGACAGCAATAGCTAACATGTAAGCTCTAGCTCTGGGCCAAGCGCTGCACTAAGCTCTTGACTCGTGACCTCACTGAATTTCCTCATCATGCCCATGCGTTTAACCACTTAGGGACAAATGCCAACCGTAGATGCTTGAATAAATCAAATTATCAAAAGGACATAGAATGATGTCTGTGTAGTCAGGATATAGAAAGTGGCTTGGAGACATTCTCAAGGGCAGTGGCCAGCTTCCAGGTCCCTGGAGTCTCCCTAGCAGCCTGCAGACAGCAGTGGATGAAGACGATGCCCCCACTGCCCAGGTCCAGCCTGGTACAGTATGTGACCTTGCCATATGAGGCACCCACCTCATCAGTCTCAGAGGTGCATGACGGACTCTAGGATGGCCAGGGTAGAGATCACAACCCATTCAGACCTGGACAAAAGCCTCGTCCATCATCCTCGGTCTCCCAGGCCAACAGGCTGTATGTGTGCTATTCTTGAATTCAGTTTCCTGGATATTTTTCAGACCTAGGCCCTCACATAGCTGTAGGTCTTATCACGTGGGTGGATTCTATTCTTGTCTTCGTTTTAGAAAAGAGGGAATTAGAGGATAAGAAATTTTCCCTAGGTTGCACGAGCTAGTAAGTACCCAAGCTAGAATGTAGCCTGACTCCAGAGTATTTATTAAATGAGAGAATGAGGGGTGGAAGGAAGAAAGAAAGGAAAGAGAGAGGGAGGGAGTAGAAAGGAAGGAAAGAAATATGGAAGAAAGGAAGCTCTGAAAATATCTACTGAGATAATTCCTTAAAGAGTATAAGATTGATGAGGGCAGGAATTTCATCTATCTTCCTCACTGTTGTATTTCCTAGCATCTTGAACAGTTCCTGGCACTTATTAAGGAATTAATATTCGTTGATTGTGTAATACATATTTCTTTCACACTCCATTCTTACCCCAACAACTTTCCTTTACACACAGGCATGTACATGTGCACACGCACATAACCCTTGGCATACAGTAAAGAGGGAAAATAGAATTTCAGACCATACTAAGCATTACCTGGCTCAAATGAGGAAGCTCTGAGTGACAGGAATGTGACAGCCCTTGGCTAAAACAGTCCCAGTGACTCTGGCTGTCAATAACTGGGATGAGATTGGTTTTGTCATACCTACTCTGAAGTCGTCACATTAACGTCCATCAGCTCCATGGAGACTGTGTGAGTCAGACCATATTTCATGGTTGAGGGTGTCTTCTCACTTTTACAGTGTCCTGCTGTGTTGACTCTTTTAAAAACGAGTCTAATGGCTGCTGTCCCAACACACCCGGTGTTCAGCATTCTTCTTTCATGGGTTTCCCCTTTCTTGCCTTGTCCTTTCCGCTGGGACTCACAGCCTCTGATAGCTCTCCATGTCCTTGCCAGAACTGTAAGGAAATAGAAAAGGGGTATTTACCCATTCCTAGGGAACAGGGTGAACTCATGAGAAGTGGGGTCAGTGGTCATCCAGGCTGTCCCCTTCCTGGTGGATGCACATGACTGGTTTATCAAGGGCACCAAACCAATAAGGTACTGTGTGCATTAGCTCCCTTATTTTAGTTAACTGAATTGTCACGAGAACCCTGAGGGGGTGAGCTCTATACCTTCTACCTTATGGGTAAAGAAACAGATTAGAGAGGTAAAAATAGCTTTTTCAAGGTCACTGACTGGTATGAAGCAGAACTAGGATTTGAACCCCAGGTGTCTGTCCCAGAGGCAGAGCTCTTAACCTTAGTTTATTATCTTTACTCCCAATACAAGGACCCTTTTTCTCTTTGTCCAGCTCTTCTAGAATGCACAAACACACTCCTGGATGCCCGCAATCCTACAATCCCACATTGGGTTTTGTCTTGATCTAGCATCTTGAATTAAGTGTAGTGTAAATGGTGAGGATTCTACTGAGTATGGCTTTGGACTGTTACACACCCTTTCTCTGGAGATAAACGATTTGTTTGGAGCCTAAAACAATGAACTCCAACTTGGAAAGATAAGGTTCGTTGTAGTATCCTATTCCTATAAGAGTTCTCAGGGACCCTGACAGTCCACATTTATTGAACGCTTACTGTGGGCCCAGCCCTGTGCTAGGCCCCTCATACACTTTTTATATAACCTATGGAAAGTGCTTACTAATGGAAGGACAGACCAGGAGCACCTCCAGCATACCTGCTTGCCCTGGATAAGGCCTAGGAGGTCAGGTTTGGAGAAGGGTTATGAGTGACTGCAGCTGGCACAAGTCCT